CCACCACACCCGGTTTAGAGCTTTGTTTTGAAAGCTGCACCTTCATTTGCTTGCTGCTCTAGATGCATCTTCAATTCTCATTGGATACAGCCTTGCATATCACAATGGAGGTGAATTCTGTCCCTGAGACCAAGTCTAATGTCATTAAATCACTGAAGTCACAGCTGGATTGTGAATCCATCCTGTGATGTGCTCTTCTTGTTAACAACATCTGGTGATTGCACAGACCATGACTCCATCAGACTAGTTGTGCCATGGGGCACTGTTAAGTCATGGCACTAGCACGTGGGCAGGGTGGAAGGGAATTTTTTGATGCTATAGAGACGAAGCCTCCATCGTCCTATACAGAAGTAAGACGTCCTAAGAATGGAGAGAACAGAGACTCTCAAGGTCTGCAGTTGACATCCGAGGATTCAGAATTTCACTGAATTCCCTCTTGATTTTTGGACAATAAGTCAGAAGACAATATGTAAATATTACTAACTGACATCGTGTACAGGAAAGGAGGCCTGAAAATTTGCTTTGGAACATTTACTGGTGACATCTAGGTGAGGGATAAGGGTAGAACTAGCTAGGGATGGGGGACTCAAGGGACTGTCCCTCAGATCAGGAAGGGTGCTAAGATCTTCAGCTGAGAAGGTGTGAGCATTTTGACAGAATGATATGGTTTATTTAATCAGTACAAAAGTCTCAGAAATTGCCAGATATGATCTTGGGAAGAAGACTAAGTTGACAGAAAATAAGATGAGGTATAATATGTTAGAGGAACAATGATAAGATTTTTTTTTTTTCTCTTTCGGTCCCTTATAGTGTACGCAGGCTACCCACCCCAGGGGCAGGTCAGGTGTAGCACTCACACCCTTAATCCCAGCATTGGACCTTTTTTTTTTGTCTTTTTGAGACAGGGTCTCACTATGTAGTTCAGGCTGGCCTTGAGCTCATTTTGTATCCTAAACTGGTCTTGAACTCACAATCCTCCTGATCCTCCTCCCTCAGCCTCCCAGTACTGGGATTATAGGCATGCGCCACCACACCTGGCAAAGTCCTACTTGTTACCCAAATTCCTTGTGTACTTTTAGTACACTTGCTTTTTTTTTTCTTTTTTGGTACCAGGAATCGAACTCAGGACCTTGCACTTGCCAGGCAGGCATGCTTGTGCCACTGAGCTCTATCCCCGGCCCCTTCAGCACTGGACCTTGAATCAATCACAAACTCTAGATTTACCCACCTCCAAAAAAGCCTAAGACTGTATGGAGATTTGGAGGGACATCTAAATACAAAACAACATTCTACCCCTAGTCTCCCCAAGACTCATATACATTCCTTTACAGAAAAAGGCATTCAGTCCATCTCCAAGAGTTGCCAAAGTCCTAACAGTTTCAGCATTGCTGAAAAGTCCAAGTCCCAAATCTCCTCTGAGATGTAAGGCAAACTCTTAGTTGTGAGCCCCTGTACAAATGAAAAGAAAGTTAAATACTTCCAGCATTCAATGACACAACACAAACGCTTCCATTCCAAAAGTTACACACAGGGGGCTGCAAAGGAATGGGACCAAAGCAAGTCCAACATCCAGCAGGGCAAATATTAAGCCCTGTAGTTCCTTGTGCAGAATCCAAAGCCTTCTGTGTCAAGATGTGAACTCCAAAAGGCTTGAGTGGCTCTACCCCTATAGCACTTCCAGTGACAGCTCCCGTGGCTTCTCTCTTGGGCCTGCTTTGCACCTGTCCTGCAGTTTTTCTTAGACGATCAATGTTCCTGGCTTCTCCAAACTTCTGGGGTCTCCACTGTATCTTTGGCTTCACACTCACAACTTCATGCACTGCCTTCTCAGTGGCACACTGCCTGCCCTCCCAGGCCTTCCGAAATCTGTGTGGAACTTTTCTGACCCCAAAACTCTTCCATTCTGCATGCACCTAAAACCACCGCCATGTGAATAATGCCATGGTCTGCTGCCAGCCAGAGCAGTAGCCAGGTTTCCTTTTCTCTAGACTGTAGGGGTCGAGTGTCTGAATGGCTGAGCACTCTGAATCCATTTCTGAGGAACAAGTTCTCTAGGCTGCTGCCATTCTGGAATATGGTGCTCTACGGCTTTCTTCTCAGTCTTTTATTTTTGCAAATTTGAGGCTGCAAAGGGTGGAGTCCTGCTGCTTCTTGTGATGCCCTCAGGCCATCTTTTCTATTTTCCTGTTCCTTCTGGGCAATCAAGCTCTCCCAAGCTCTATTTTGGCAGTCCACACCTTTACTGGAACCTCCTTCCTGGCCAAACTCACAATGTTTTAAATCATTCTGCTGTGCTCTTTGCTCTTGATTCTCAAAATAAATCTGACTAAAAGCCCCCAACATTAGCCATGCCAACACCTCAACATTCAACTGCCTTGAAATTTCTCCTACAAGATTAGTTAATCTGCCAATCTTAATCTCAATCTCAGGCAAAGTCTCTGGACACAAACAAAATGCAGACAAAGTTTCTCCCAAGCCATAACACACATCTGGAGTCCAGTAGCCACCGCAGTCCTTCCCAGCAGAAACTTCTGGAGCCTGGTTTTTACCAGCAGGATTTCTATCAACCTTTTGGTCTTCTGAGCTCTGATCAGAATCTTCCATACAAAACAGCCTAAGGTGTTACAGCTCTACTTTTTCAGCTAGCATCTCCAAACCTTTCCAGTTTCTTCCCACAAGCCACTCCCAAAGGCTTTTGAACTACAGCAAGGACCCTACCTCTCTGGTACAAAATTCTGTCTTAGTTACTTTGCTCTTGTTGCTCAGACAAAATCAGAGTAAAAGGAGGAAAGGTTTATTTAGTTCACAGTTTGTAGAGGCTTCAGTCCATAATTGGCTGGCTCCAAGGCAGGGTGGCTTAGCAGAGGCAACCATTCTTTCCAACAGAGGAGGAAGAGTGATACACTTTTCTTAATCCTGTTTCAATACAGTGTGGCCGGGCGTGGTGGTGCACGCCTGTAATCCCAGCATTCAGGAGGCTGAGACAGGAGGATTGTTGCAAGTTAGAGGCCAGCCTGGGCTACAAAGTGAGCTCAAGGCCAGCCTGAACTGCATAGCAAGACCCTGTCTCAAAAAGGACAAAAAAAGCCAAAAAATCAATACAGTGTGGATTGTTTACTCTTTGAATAATGCCCTTGGTTTTGTCAAGCAGAATCATTAACAGAAATGGATATAGGAAAGGTCTGACATCTTTGAAGAATTGTTTTTTTGTCTTTTTTCTGTAGCCTTGTTACCTTTAGTAGAAATCTTAATAAACCTGAAAATCTTGTTCTTCTCTTCTTTGCCCTATGGGAGTTGGTTTTATTGATGGGATTTGTAATCCCCAAATGCCTGCACTGTGCTTCTGATGTGTTATGAAGTGTAACATTGTCTCCCTTGATCTCCAAAGCTTTGTGACTGTAACTAGAAACATAGACATCATTATTGCTATGACTTTCATTAATTAAGTAAATTTAAATATAACTTTATATTTGCAATGTAAATTACCCTTGAAGGGAATTAGTTTCTTCACATTTAGTTCCTTCAATTTTATTTCTTTTTTCCTGTCTTTTTGAGACAGGGTCTTGCTATGCAGTTCAGGCTGGCCTTGAGCTCGCTTTGTAGCCCAGGCTGGTATTGAACTCGCAAAGATCCTCCTGCCTCAGCCTCCCGAGTGCTGGGATTACAGACGTGTGCCACCACGCCTGGTCTCTAATTCTATATCTAACAATTGTACATCTTTCAGCCTTAAATGAGTAGCCTTTAATTCTGCATTGACTACTTTTGTCACATTTTGGGATTTTGGTAGCTTAAATCACTTATTAAAATTTATATTTACAGCCAGCACACACCTGTAATCCCAGCCTGGACTGTACAGCGAGACCCTGTCTCAAAATAACCACCACCAAAACAAATGAACAACAGCAGCAACAAAGGATAAAAATTAAAATGGGATGGGAGGTCAGGTCCTTTCTTCCCAGGAAGCAGGTGTGCTAAGTAGATGACAGCTCCTTCCTCACCTCTGGGCTGGATTTGGAAGAATTTAGAAATGCAGTTTCCTTTGAACTCAAACCCTGTCAAACAGCTAAATAATTTTATTTAGACCCTAAACCCACAAAGTCACCTGTTTAAAACAAGTCTCCACTGCTCTATTTATCTATATTAGGCCAAAACAAAGTGCATCGCAGTTCCACTAAGAATTTCCTTTCATAGGATAAGAGCTTTATTTTTCTTATTATTTCCAATAAACACTCTGTCATCTTCCACCTCTTGTCTGCGATTTTATTCTTTAACTTCGGGAAAGAACTTGGATTTATATAAAATCAACTGCTTCATAACCACACCTGTTTTGCTTTCTAAGAACCTATAACTCAATTTAAAGCTTCCTTGAGGAAAGTCACTCATTCTGGGCAAATGGAGACATATTTAATGCTCTGGTAGTTTCTAATCTTCCATTACCTTAAAACCATTAAAAATAATTCTGAATTATACGCTAAAAGCGAGTGGATTAATTTTTTTTTGAAAAAGTAGTAAGGCATACATCGTAATACGTTAATAATGTAATAACTATCAAGAGCTACTGTTTTGGGCAAGCTTTGACTAAAGCTCTTGAAATTCACAAAACGATGCCTAGCACTATATTGGCCGTTAATAGAAACGTGCGCTCCAGCCCAAATCCCTAAATTCCGTCTTCTGCCAAGAGGTGTGGCCTGTATCCATAGTGACAGGTAAAAGCGTCCGAGCGTCAGAGCGGCTCCTTCCTGCACAGCTTTAGGCTGCTCCCCTTTTCTGTGGGAGGAAAAAACCCGGAGTTTTGTGAGCGCTCGCGCGGAGAACTTCTTCCGTAGTGCCTGGACGCGCGACACCGTTTACGTTGAGTTTCTGATGGAACCACAACTCCCAAGATGCACCAAGGCTCTAGAGCGGTCAGAGGGGCCGCTTCCGGTTTGGGCCAGCGCGGCTGCGCACCGTGTGCGGTCTTATTGGCTCGAGCTACCTCGTGCGATGCGCGTCACGGCGCCGCGCAGTCGTGGGGGCGGGGAGACGCGGTGGTGGCTGTGGCGGCGGCGGGAGCTCGGTCCAGAGGCGGTATCGCGGTGGAGGCAGCGGCTGCGCCTACTTGGTGTTGGGCTCCCTCCCTCCTCCATTCCCCCTCCTCCCCTTCCCCTCCAGCGGTGGTTTTCTAGGAGTCCGAGACGTGCGGCCAGGCGGCGACCAGCTCCGGGTGAGGGTCTCGGGAGTGCTAGCGCGGCTTCCCCGGCGCGCCGGGAGCGCCCGGGGTCGGGGCGGCGGTGCGGGCTGAAGGGGCAGAGGTGCCCGGCGCGGGCCGCGCGGCGCGTGTGGACCTGGCCCTCGGCTTGGCCCCGGTCTCTGTCCCGCCGCCACCAGCGGGCTGCGGGGGCCCGAGGGGCTGCCCTGCGGGGCCCGGCCGGACCCGCCCTCCTTGTCACTGCTGTCACAGTTGCCGGCGCCCGCTGCCGCTCGCCGCTCCGGGCGGGTGTCCGAGCCCCGGCTCTGCTAGGTGTCGTCGCCTTCGGGCGCGGTGCCCTTCCCTGCTGCGCTCGGAAAGGCAGTGCCCGCTCCTCTTCCTTCCTGCCCGGGTCTTGTATCACTTCGAGGAATTTCTCTGGAGGCGGACTTGGGGTGGTTGTGCTCGGCACTGCTGCAGCGGTGACCGGGATGGGAAGCCTCCTGCACCTTCTGGGCAGCCCGCTTGCGGTGGTGTGCTGGGCCCCGTGCTCTCCGGCTCCGTTTGGCTTTTCAACTGTAGTTCGTTTCTTGTGAAAATTGCTGGTGGCGAGGTTATAAATTTTTTTAGGTTGTTAGGGATCTGTGAGAAAGTTCAGATTGGCAACTCCCCCCCCCCTTGGCTGTTGACCTTGATTTAAATGTTTGCCTTTGGAGTTTTTACAACTTTGTGAGATGGTCCAACAGTAGATTTTGTGGTCGATTTTTTTTTTGTCTTGGTACCAGGAATCGAACTCAGGACCTTGTGCTTGCCAGGCAGGCGCTTGTGCCGCTGAGCTGTATCCCCGGCCCCCAACAGTAGATTTTGTTAGATTAAATGTCCAGCTGAGTTTGTGGAAGGTACAGTGCTTAATTGCGGATTGCTTTTTTTTGTGTTTATTTTAGTATGATGGTCTTTCAATATTAACACTTGTAGACTCTGGATTTCTCAACCTTGTATTACTATCCCCACTGTATTCATCCCCGAGCTCCTTAAGACGCCGAGGAATCTGTCCAGACATTTAAAATTGTTTGATCACAAATTTTTCCCAGTGAAATGTTAAATTAAACGGAAAGCTTTATTTTTTGAGGAGCAATGATAAACCTTGTCCGTTCTGAAGTTTGAAGTATCCTATTCAAAGTACTTTAGACTGGGTATGCCTGTAATTCTCAATATATGTGGTAGCAGCTGATTGGTGGTGAATTATGAAATCTGGCAACATTTAAAATTAAATATGAAAGGCACCTTTTCTTTAAGCTTCTGTTTGTAGTTGCCTATTCCCCTGTATATGTTTTTCTTTAGCCTTTGGGCTATTTGAGGTATGAGGGGTAAGAGTCTGATTCCCAGAACTTAAAAGAGTTTTTGTTTTTCCATCCCTATCATGTATATATAAATGAATAGATCTTTCTCGTCGATAGTTTCAATTAACCAGTGTACTTTTTTCCCCCCCTGTGGTACTGTGGATTGAACCCAGGGTCTTTGCACTGAGCTACATCTCTAACCTTTATTTTTTTGTTTTGAGAAGGTTGAGCTTAGAAAGCGCTCCCTAAAGTTGCCCCGGTTGAGCTCACATAGTGCTCCTCCTGCTTCATCTTCCTGCAACGCTGGGATTAAAGGCATGGTGTGCACTTTTTCCCGTATAAATTACATTTTGTTTCCCTAAATGAAAATAATTTCGTTTTTCTGTTGTTATTTTTGAGACAGGGCCTCCTGTATATTTCAGGGGAGCCTTGAACGGACCAGCCCAGGCTGACCTCAGACTCTTGGCAGCCCTCCTATCTCAGCCTCCCAAGTGCTGGGTTTACAGGAGTGTTCTACCACATCCCACTGTGTTTTATTCTTTCATAGGTTATCCAACTTTATAGCCTACAGGCCAAGTCCTGCCTGCTACCTGTTTTTGTAAATTTAAGAAAAAAATCTTTTTTGAGATAGGGTCTTGTTGTGTAGTTCACGTTCGCCTTGAACTCACTGTGTAGTCCAGGCTGGCCTGGAACTCATTGTAGTCCTCTGCCTCAGCCTCCCAAGTGCTAGCATTACAGGTGTGCGCCACCACACCTGGCCCAGTAAATAAAATTTTTATTGGAATATAGCCTTATGCAGCCTTTCAGATATTATCTGTGTGCTTTTTGTGTTTTCTGCACTGAAGATCTAGAAAGAGGTTTGGTGAACCAAGTTTTCCTCATTTGTCCTATAAGACGTAAGAAGAAAATTTAGGAGTGATGCTGATAATTGTTAATGGTTAATGAATGTTAATGAGTTATTAGACAATTTCCACTGCTATATGTGCATTCTCATTTAATCCTAGTAACAGCCTGTAAATACAAACTATTCCTATTTTACAGGCAAGGAAACTGAGGCAGAAAGTTAGATAACTGTTGACTTAGCTAGTGGGGTGAAAATGGGATCTAAATCCATGTGGTCTGGTTTCAGAATCCAAGCTCTTAATGTGCCAGACAGTTTTCTCCTTACAACACTAGTATTGCTTAGTGTAGGAAGTTTAGACAGTGCAGAGGGATATAAGGTAGAATTCTTCCTGGTGCTCTCATTTTTCTGGTTTCATTTGTTGTGGGTGATCCCTGTTGACAGTTTGATACAGATTGTTCTAGCTCTCTTTGCATATATAAATATTTATTTGCAAGTCTGCATATATAGAATTTTTTTTACAAAATGGACTTTTTAAAAGAGCAGTTCCACATTTATAGAAATTTGAGCTGGTAGTAGGCAAAGTTTCCACTTCCCTTCTCCTCAGTTTCCTGTTACTAACATCTAGCATCAGTATGACATGTTTATTTCAGTGGAAGAACCAGTATCAATATTACTTAGTCCATAGTTAACATTTGACATCTGACATAGTTAACTATGTTAACATAGTTAACATAGCTCACCTTTTATGTTGTAGAATTCTTTTAAAAAGATAGAAACAAAAACCAGTCACTATTTTAGCATAGTGCTTTTTTTTCTTTTTTGCCTGTTTAAAATAGAGTGTTTCTGGATTTTGTAATGATTTACTAATTTTCAGATTAATGACACAAATTTAGCATTTTCTTTGGAGTGGGAAAAATTGCTTGGAAGTTACTTTTTTGAGCGTTATTTGGGATTGCCCCTTTGTTTAATTATTTCTAAATTTTGAGACAAGATCTCACTAAATTGCGCAGACTGAGCTCCAAGTTGTGATCCTTCTGCCTCACCTTCCCAACTGCTGGGTTTACAGCCATGTGGCATCATGCCTAGCACTTTTTCTCTTTTAAAAGTTGCATATCATACTGCCAGCTGCTTTCTCCAAAGAAAGTCCAATATTTTGAGTGGATGTTTTGGCTATACCACATCATCAGAAAGTTCTGTTTTTCTTCTCTTTGTTTCTGGATCTGGTAAATGGACTCTTAGTTTTTTGAGACAGTATCTCACTATGTAGTTTAGGCTGGTCTTGTGTGTTGGCTTCATTTCTGGTAATTTTCCTGCCTCAGCCTCCTGAGTGCTGGGATTACAGGTGTTCACCACCATGCCCAGGTCATTTTAGTTTTCTTTCTCATATGTTCTTTTTTTTTTTTTTTTTTGAGACAGGGTCTCACTATGCAGTTCAGGCTGGCCTTGAGCTCACTTTGTAGCCCAGGCTGATCTCAAACTCGCAAAGATCCTCCTGCCTCAGCCTCCCGAGTGCTGGGATTATAGGTGTGCGCCACCATGCCCAGCTCTCATACATTCTTTATGATCTGTCTTTCTAGCTATTGCTAGTCTCATCTCTTGGTCAGACTTTGAGTTTTTTTTTTTTTTTTTTTTCTTTCCTTTTTGAGATTGAGGTCTTGCTGTATTGCCCAGGCTGGCCCCCAACTCCTAGGCTCAGGCAATCCTCGTACCTCAGCCTTCTGAATAGCTGGCACTACAGGCCTGTGCCCTAGACTTTGGCTTTTTTATGAAAGCTGTACATGTTCTATAATGTAATTTGCTCCTCATCACTGAATTTCCTCCTGGTTTTCTTGGGGACAGCACTGAATTTTTTCCTTAGTTGTGCCAGGTGGATTTTTTGGACGTCTTTCTGCAGCTTTGGCTCTCTGCTCCTCCATAAGCATACTGTTGAACTTCTTGAGATTTCTTGCTGTTCTTCATTGAAGCATTGGTGCTCCTCAAGCCAGGTATTCCCTATCAGCCTCCTCCTCCTTGCTGAGACCAGTGCTTTCCCATCCTTTTTTTTTTTTTAAACCATTTTGTTTCTCCTGAACTTTCAGAAGTTATGCTCCTAGCCAGGTGTGGTGGCTCACACCTGTAATCCCAGCGCTTGAGACTGAGTGGGAGACCCGCCTGGGCTACAGTGAGCTCAAGGCCAGCCTGAACTGTGTAGTGAGATCCTGTCTCTAAAAGACAAAACAAAACAAAAACAAACAATATTTCTCTTCTCCTCAGTATGTTGCTGGACTGTGATCTTTAGCATTCACTTCTCACTTTTGATTTATTTTGAGCCCTCTGTGAATTCAGAAGAATTGATTCAGAGTTGAAGCAGACGTCCTCACTGTCTCATCTTGTTTTATGCTGTTGGGCCAGATCTTGCGGAGGTTCTTAATTCATGGCTAGAGGACATTGAGCTGTTTTGTTTTGTTTATTTTTGTTTTAAAAGTATTGGTTCCTACTGTTGTGACTTCCTCCACAATTCTTGTCTAAGACAACAAAATGGATGGTTAGTTAGAGCAATGATTTAACAATCTCTAGGGCTCCTAGGTGATGAAATGCTTGTACAACAGAGTGATTGTTACCTTTCTTTAGTGTGTTTGCAGAAACTTGCCCAGAGGCGTGGAAGTTAAAAAGCTCATGAATTCCTGCTGATCTGGAGATAAGTTCACTGTCAGGACTTTCATATCAGGTCTCTCCTTAACTGCCTTAGTAGCTTTTATGCAAAACTTTGGAGGTCTTAAATCAAGTGAATAGCTGAACAGTTAAACACTTTTTTTTTTTTCTTTTTCTGTTTCTTGGGCACTTTGATAACCTTTTCAACCTTTTTTTTTTGT